GTATTTAAAAAAGGACTTCTTGTTGCCCTTGATCTGGGTAGCTAGTCCCACTTTCATCTCTGCCTTGGCCTTCCTGGCTGCCCCCCTGCAGCCCCGAGCAACCGCAGTATAGTCCTCCCTGGTGATAGCCTCTCCCTTCCATTGGGTGTACGTCTCCCTTTTAGCTAGGAGACATTCCTGGATGCTTTTGGTGAGCCACGGGGGCTTTTGCACCCTCCTGCTCCCTTTGATCCGTGTTGGGATTACCTCCCTTTGGGCTTGGGCATTGTCCCTCTTGCTGGTCCTGCGATGTAGGTCCAAGATGACTTGGAGCCAAACCCTGAGCTCTGAGTACTGGGCAGGCTCTGGCTTCCCCAGCCTCTGCCCTGCCACAAAAATGTGTCCTTACAGATAAGAGATTCCCCCAAATCCTCCCCACCCAGGGTATCACAAGACATGCACTTGGACTCCTCTTACTCTCGGAAAGGAGGATTCCTTTATTCACAATATTACTCATGAGTGAAGACAGTAGTAGCAATTTTAACTAAGAGCCATTTTGGTTATGACCTCAAACTCCACTGGGTCCTGAGTCACAAGCGAGTCCTCCAGGGAAGGAAAGATCAGGATTTCCAACAGAAAGAGATAAGGCAAAATTAAGTTGGGGATCCTTTTTGGGGGTGGGACTGGGAAAAGGGGGTGCAAAAAGCATGTGATCTGGGAGCTCTCCCAATGCAAGGCAGTCTAGACTGTGGCTGGCAAGTGGGAATGGCTGCTGACAAGGCACAGAAGCAGGGCTGATATTTTTCCTTTTGCATATTTCATGCTGTATCCAAGGACCAGCAGCTCAGGATTGAGTTTTTGAAAACTAGATATATCCAGATTAGCCTAAAGTAGGGGTGGGCAATTATTTTGGGCAGAGGGCCACTTGCTGAGTTTTGGCAAGCCGTTGAGGGCTGCATAACAAGCAGCCCAGCGCAGATTAATATTAGTTTTCTGAATTTTTTAGGGGCCCCACAGGCTGGATAGAATAGCCTGGTGGGCCGCATCCAGTCCCCCGGCCACATTTTGCCCACCCCTGGCCTAAAGTCTTCCTGGCTCACCTCAGACTGGTTTCAACTCATGCCAGTTGATCAGATGCAGATTTCCTGAGCACCCCTTGCCAATTCACCTAACTTCATGGTCCTCAGCTGTGCTGCATTGTAGGCAAACTACCCCGATGAAGTTTACCTATAAGAGCTTGAATTAGAAAACATGGGAGTACCAGTACAGAGAGCTCAGTGACATTTAACTCAAAGAGCTGTCTAGATCAGCTCAGATCAGAGTCAGACAACGTGTTGGCTAGGCTCCTCTCTTCACTGTTGCTTCAGCTAAAGCAGGGAGAAATGTGCTTAAAGTTCCTGATGCATTTGTAGCCTTTGAATTTCTGTCTTCCTTCTCTGTAAGCATCCCTACTTGTTTTCTGGTAGGATTAAATGTCTTTAGTGGCTTTGCACAGGTATAATCAATGAAGTAGGCAAAAGACTGAGGCACAGAAGAAATAAGAGCCTATGCCCATGCACAGCTGAGTCAGCTTAGCAGTGATGGTCATAGCAAAATACAGCATAACACCCCTCCCAAAAAAACCCAAACAGAAACAAGGCTACTTTTCAGGTGATCACATCTAACAGAGAAGGGTTGGGAGCATTTCTACTTAAACGCTTTTCAGAGTGGTACTGGATTTCCTTGGTTAAATTGTGTTCTTAGTCTATAGAAGTGTATTAATTTAGTTTTTTCCCCTTAGGGCAGTAATTTTTAAACAGGGTGATGCAGCCTTCTAAGGTGCCATGAGATCCTTTCCAAGGTGTTGTGGGTGCCTCACAATATTAGGAATGTACTTGGTAGCTGTGTTGGTCTGAGAAAAGAAGACAAAAAACTAGAACTCTTGGTTCTAAAATGATACCTTTTATTAGACCAACTGGGAAATCGCAAGAAAAAGACAATTTTCTTGCAATTTCCCAGTTGGTCTAATAAAAGGTATCATTTTAGAACCAAGAGTTCTAGTTTTTTTGTATGTCACAATATTAGGTTTGTTGGTTGTAGCCATGTTGATATAAGGACATAGGCAGACAAGGTTCTTTGGGTAGATGTGAGATCTTTCATTAGACCAACTACATCGTTAGAAAAATTGTTCACTGCGAGCTTTCAGGCATAACCCCCTTTCATCAGGCATAGAGAGTCTGCTGGTGTTTTGTGTACTCTACTGGGTGAAATAGAAGCAAAAATGCAGGTCTGTGAAAATGCAAATATGTGACAGTGAGGATCAGAGGGAATGGGAGACAATGGGTGTGAGACAGGTAGCTAGGGGGAAGGGGAAATGTTGGACTGGTAATAAAATCACAATATCAGCACTGGTAAGTGTTTTAAGCACCTAAACATGATTCATAAAGTAAGCCCAGAGATTTCAGAGAGGATCCATATTGTCAGAAACACTCTGACCTGTTGTGGTCTCTTTGAGTTCTTTGCAATAGGAAAATTACTCTATTATTTTTCTGTAGTCAGCCTTTTTTAAGAACTGGCATTTTCCAAGAGGTGCCTTGAGTCTGCCAAGGTTGAAAACCCCTGCCTTGAGGTTTCTTTTTGCACGTTTCTCTACATGTGTGGCACAAAAAAAAAAAGATGACAAATTAAATCCAGGGTCTTAAATCTTTACCAAAATACAGCATTAATGAAGCAGACAAATTCTGTAGAAGAATGTGGGTGTCCCCCTCCCTTATAAATAAGACTGACACAGCTTTTAAAACCACATAACTTTTATAAATACAGGTAATCCTTAACTTTTGAGTTATGTTTCACACTTACAACGTTTATAAATTGACATCCCTGTTTCAACTTTATGACATCAGTTTTGACTTTACAATGCTTGATCCGATGCAATGCCATGCCAGTGAACAAGTTCAGTGAGTTGCTCATCTCCCTGGAGATCATCTGTCCAAGCTTCTTTGGACACTTTCTTTAAGAAAGCAGACAAGACTCCTGAGAAGAGTCCAGCCAAGAGCCCTTCGGAAAGTCCAACCAAGAGCCCTTCAACACGTCCACCAAAGTCACCTCAAAGAAGTTCTTCCAAATCAATATGATTGCTATTTACAATGTAAATACATCAATGTAGTAGCTATATTACTCATCTATAATTGATCAAGTACAAAATTCTGGGATATTTTTGGTGAAAATAAGGTATCGGGCCTTGGTTCAGGAACCAATCCCCCATTTATAACATTGACGCTTGCTTGATTTTTACAGACATTGTGGCTGTGGAGGCAAAGCATGTGTTCTGGTCTGATTGAGAACTATGTGGCGGCTATGATGCTGAGTGCAGCTGGTGATGCTCTGGGCTATTACAATGGAAAATGGGAGTTCCTCCTGAGTGGTAAGGAGATTCATGAGGAGCTGAAAAAGATGGGAGGCCTGGACAAGATTAATATATCAGGCTGGAAAGTCAGTGATGATACTGTGATGCACCTGGCAACAGCAGAAGCCCTGATAGCTGCTGGAGGACAGCCTGAGCTCCCACAGTTATATTCCCTCCTAGCGAAGCACTACAAGGACTGTATGGCTCACATGGCGGGTAGAGCTCCAGGTAATCCTATCTAATTTTATCACAAAACAGTACTTCCTCGGTTTCATTCACTTCCTAGCTAACACTGCCCTGGAGTGTTTTTGTTTGATTATAACTTTACCAGTGTCATATGTTCAGGCTGTGTTTTACATGTTGGGTGCCTGTAAATTGACTAAAGGAATCGGAACTTGTGGTAGGTGATATCTTTTATTAGACCAGCTAGAAGTTTGCAAAAAAATAAGTTCTTTATTTGCAAACTTGCTGCCTTGTAACACTAGGAAGATTTCAAAGAGACCAGGTTTCAGAGAGGAAAATCCAGGCCACTTCTGTTCCCAATCCATGTAGCTACCTTAGTGTTAGTCGGTTGGTAATGTCATTAGCTCTTCTGAGAGCTGCCTCCAGAGTTGGAAGTAGCCTAGCTACATTAATGGAGCCCTGTGCCTAAAAATTAGCTCTGCTTTTAAGCTAGTTAGCTTCACCACAGCACGGTTCTGTTGCTTCTTAATTTAGGAGGTAGCCTGTGACTACCACCCAAACAGGAAGCAATATAGCTGCATGCGTTCATTCATGCTGCTGCTTCTCAGCAGGGGCAGCAGGATGTTACCTGGTACCAAAGGAACAGACAGGGCTGAGCTGGCTGATCCAGGACCAGTTCTTCAAAGCCTAGGCTTCTTGGGGTCAAAGAGACAGAACCCCCAAATTTCAGACTATCCTTGGAAAACTTGGGGTAGGTGGTCTTCTTCCAAGTCTTTGTCTTGCTGGTTGATTTCTTTGTTTATTTAAAATTTCAGTTAATAGGGTCCAGCCACTTCTGAGAATGAGCTTTGGGGTGACTGCAGTTCTGCCTCCAACTGCCTTCCCCCATCTTGAAAAAACATGTATATGACTCTTTGTTCTAAGCTGTGGCATCACCATACATCTGTGGAAAGTGCAGATATAGCAGGTGGTGATCTTTGCATCAGGAATCTGCTTTTTTTTTTTTTTTTTTTTTTTTTT